GTTCCACGAGCAGCCAGATGAACGGAAGGTAACATGTAGAAATTGGGGCATGGATCTGTCTGACGACGTATGTCATTCAAAGTTCTCTCAGATTGACCGTGTAGTGCGCCATGAGTCTGTTCAAGATTCTTCGAATGATATTTGGGTTGGCCAGGGCGGCGTTCTTGGTATTCAGCATTATTCCTTAATTGCAGAGACGAAGTTGGAGTTCAACGTTCAACCTCGGCCTCGCAGGGCAAAGGTGGATGCGAACAGCTTGAAAGATCCGGCTCGCAAGCCGGATTTTGTATCAGTTTTCTTGGCAACCTGCAGCGCCTGGCCGGATGCAGCGAGTACTGTGGACGATTCTGCTCTTTGTCTACAACGCAGTTAAGCGGCTCAAACCTTACCAACAAAGGCATCTTCCGCGAAACAGGCCTGGACAAGCCAGCGCACGCTGGACCTGATAGAGGAGCGCGCTTTGGCCCGCAGGCGCGGGGACCACACAAAAGAGAAAGAGCTGCACGCTCGTTTTCGCAAGGCTGCAAAGAAAAATCGCGCTGATTGGTTTGATTGGTTACTCACTGACGGCGGCTGGGACGCAGTTCGATATTTGAAAAGACCGAGAACCATCCAGCATGCGTCTATCAAAGGACCGGATGGGAGTTTGGCAGACACTGGGGATCGAGCGAATGTCACGCGATCTTTTTGGAGGTGTCCTACCGATTTCCACGAACGAACATGCTCACACAGTCGGAACTATTTGCAGCTGTGCGCGCAAACTTCGTCGAGGAAAAGCCCCTGGACCAGATGGTATACCACCAGACTTTTGGACAGTCGTAGCTTTTTGTCCGTATGCGCGCGAGAACTTGCTGTCAATGTGCCAACAATGCTGGGAAGCGAAATCAATACCATATTCTTGGGGACGACACATCATAACCAGCAAATTATCGGCCAATATCTTTGTTAGCGGTGGATTACAACATCTCAGCCTCAATGATGTACCGAAGACTGTTGGATGGAAGCGCTGAGTCAAGAATGCGGGCTTCCCAGTACGGTTTCAGACCACGGCGAGGCGCGTCCGACGCTCTGATGCTCGTCAGGCGCATGACTGATGCTGCGTATTCCAAAAACAACGGGGGCATGCTGTTAGGTTATGCTTGACTGGGCTACGGCGTTTGGTAGACTGAAGCCAACTTGCATGTGCGAAGCTCTGCATCGCTGTGGACTTCCCTCGGATATGGTTCTGATGGTTGGAACTCCACAGAACGAGAACATCGTACTGGGATTGCTCAGGGCTGCCCCCTTTCACCGTACTGTTTCATTGCAGCGCAAACCGTTATACTCCACGACGTTCTGGATGGAATTCAATACGACCCTGATCCGGGGTACATTGTGGCGCGGGATATCTTGTATGCGGATGACGTCTTATCGGCCTTGCAGATCAGCAACAACTTTCAGAACATGCTGAATGCGATCGTCGGCGACGGCGCGAAATATGGTTTGGAACCCAACTGGGGGAAGACAATGCAAATTCATATTAACACGAATTCTGTGATATGCCAGCCGGATGTGGGGGACATCGAAACAGTCCGAGACGCAATGTATTTGGGTGGCCTTATCATTTTGTACTGGGGGAAGCCAATGGGGCATTTTATGCGTTGTCGAAGATCTAGTCGCATTCATCAATCGGGTGGGAGCGCAGATGCGCAATATATGACGCTTGCGTTCTCAGCAAGCTCTCATATTCTCTGGATTCGTTATGGCTGCTTACAGCCGGCCGCAAAATTTTGGACGCTTTCTACGCGAAGTGTGTGAGACGTCTCCAGGGTATCCCATGTTCTCATGTGTCCAGAGTGAGCAACGAAGACGTTTTTCAACGAGCTGGTAAAACGATGCATTCCGATACGATGCCATCAATACATAATATGTTATACAAGAAGATCGCTGCGAGCGCTTGGGCGTCCCTCGTCCGGCGGGTGTTCTGCAACGTCGATGGGGCCCCGAAGACTTTCACCGCCCGCCGGAAGCGCGGCCGGCCGCGGCAGCAGTGGGGCAAAGAAATGCACCGCCTGAACCAATCTGTGTACCCATCCTCGTGCAACCTCCTTTTCTTCTTCCTCCCTGTGCGCAATCAGTAACTTTTGGAACGATTCTACACATGGGCTGTTGTCGAAAAAGGTGCCAATAGCGCGCTCATCTGCCCACGCGTCCCTCTGGATGCTTGGCTTCGCGGCGGCGGCGGCGGCGGCTCACGCGTTTCCCGGCCCTGTAGGGGGCTCCACCGAGTACCCCAGTGGCAGGGTTCGCATGCGGTCCCGCCCCCATTGTGGCGCACCCCTTGCGCGTTTCGTGCCCCTATAGGGAGCTCCGCCGAAGGCCCCAGCGGCAGGGTTCGCATGCGGTTTCGCCCCCACTTCGGCTCATTTCTCATCTGTTTCGTGGCCATTGAAGCAGGAAGTTTCACCGAAGACGATACTCACAACTACAGCGCTCACAATTGCAGATGGTTGGATCCTTCGCCAGGCTAAAGTTCATCCCATGACCATTCTGGATGTGGGGCCTAAGCAGGTGCCCCTGGGGAACCGAAAGGAAGGAGATACGTCGGGATTGAGAAGAGCAGTCCTCTCCTCTCGGTCGGAAGCCTCTGGTCCCCAGAACCTTCTGGAGTCATCCAGGGCCTTCTGGAGAGTCGCGGATGATTAAAGCACGTAACGCCAGCACATACGGATACTCTTCGCCCGGAACGAGTCTAATATCTCGGAAGGTTGAGAGAGTCTTTGCAGGGCCTCCACATGAGAGCACACCAGAAGGGGCTCCGACGTACAAATCCGAGGGAATCGCTGGGCCGACTGGGCGGCTACACCTGGAAGGTACTTGCATGCGGCTCCCTCCCATGACGCCAAAGCGACGTGAACTGCTCTTTCGTCTGTCAGACAAGGATTGTATTGGCCCGTTGTCGCCTGTTCTCGTCACGTGTCGCCGGGCGAGCTGTTATCGTCCCGTGCAGGCGCAAGGTTGCACAAAAGGGCCAGACCCAGCATGCCGAAGCAACCGACTCCGCAGGCCCATCTGTGCCACTCTCTTTCGCAGGCCCCTGGCAGGCTCATCTGGCGATGCATCATGTGCATGGAGGGTACGAAGATAAAGCGTGCTCGGGACCGACTCTCTGCTCTCCCGTGTCTGGCCAGGCCTGTGTTCGCGCGTGGAGTGGCCAGGACCTCGGAAGCGGAACTCTCCTCCAGTGGATCCCCCCCCGTGTGTGGGGTGGGGTGGTGAGCCTCTGGGGGTGCCTTGGAGGAGCACGAGGAGGAGGAGGAGGAGGAGGAGGAGGAGGAGGAGGAGGAGGAGGAGGAGGAGGAGGAGGGAGGAGGAGGAGGAGGAGGAGGAGGACCGCAGTGGTGGAGCCCTGAAGGCGAGGACGCTATTGGCGACGAGCCCATGTCCTGCGGGCCGCCTCGTCCCTACGGGTGGGATGGGGAGAGGGAGTGTCCAGCCGAAGAGGCCTGGGGGTGACCTTGGTTCGGCGGCGCGCCGGGGGAGAAGTGAGTCCGCCTCCTCCTACTCCTCCTCCTCCTCCTCCTCCTCCTCCTCCTCCTCCTCCTCCTCCTCCTCCTCCTCCTCTTGGTTCGGCGGCGCGACGGGGGAGAAGTGAGAGGGGGCAGGGCTTCTCAGAGGGTGGAGCTTCTCAGGAACCCGCCGGCCTTCTGCGAAGCTGCCCCCGTCTTCGGGGAAGGCCTCGCAAACTGTTCGGGAGGCTAGAGGCCTTCCGAGCCTCCTGAGAAGGGCCGCCCCCTCTGACTTCCCCCCTCGGCTCGCCGCCGATGGGTGAATGATTCACCCCTCGGGGTCCTCTCTCGCTTCGGGCGGGCTGTCCCGCGGCGGGGCTGCGGCCGTGCGAGCGCCGTGCCACTCCCGGCTTTCCTCTTGGGGGGGGTCCTTTCGACGCGCGCTCGCCTGGGCCTCCTCAGGTGAATCGGGTGCTCTGCGAGACGTCGGGCCTCGCGTGGCTTTCGCCCCCGTCCCGCGGGCCTCCTGGCCCGATGCTCGCGTGCTCGTGCGTGCCCCCCGCGGAGTTGTCGGGCCCCCCCCGCCCGAGGAGCGTGGGACGGGCAGGCACCCCCTCTCGGCTGCCGCTGTCCCTGGCCCCCCCCCACCCTCCTTCAGGGGTCGCGGATTGCCCGGCGGCCCAAGGGGCACCGTTGTTGGGCATCTCCCGACAGGGCCGCTCTATTTGCATCGTGTGCGGATCTAATCGCACGGGGATGGCAGGTCGCCCCCCTCTTGACCGTGGTTTGCCGCTGGCTCTTTCTGGACTGGCGGCCAGGAGTCGTGAGTTGGTTCCCTGATGGTCGGCACCCCTCACGGTCGGAAACCTGCCGATGCAGGCAGAACTGATGGTCGCCTGATCTCTCACCATCGCCCCTTGCTTGTTTCGGACTCCTCTTCCTCCTCCTCCTCTTCCTCCTCCTCCTCCTCCTCCTCCGCCTCCTCATGGCTCCGACTGGGCGCGGGGTGCTGATTATTCATCGTCCGCTCGCAGAGGGAGGCGAGAAGGAGTGGGGAAGGCACCTAAGGAGCACCCCTGCTTCTGAGAAGGCGTGGACCTCGTCTTTACATGCAAGGCTGGCGCCCAGCGCCTTCCAAGAAGCAGCCTCCTTCTAGGAAACCTTCCCCCCTCCCCATCCCCCTGCCCCCTTTCTTGTGCGCGCCGCCACTATGAACTCGTGTGAATTTCCCTTCCCCATGCCCTGCTCGTGTGGTGCGGTCCGGCGGTCGGTCCGGGCGTGGGCGAGAGGCGCGCGCGTGCGCGCCCGCGGCCCGCGCTTCGACTTCCAGGGCTGCCGCCACGGCCGCCCCACGCCCCGAGCCGCGGTCCTCCTCGGTGGGCTCGGCGGCGGCTTTCTCGGGCGGGCGAGGTGGGCCCTGATGGGCTCGCCTCGTTCCGGGGTGTGCGTCGGGCGCTTCGCGCACTGTTTCCCCACGGTGTCGCGTCCTCCTGCTGCCCCCCCGCTGCCGAGGCTAGAGCCACCCTGCAGCAGCTGGAGTCCGCCTCCCAGCAGCCGGGCGGCGTCGGCGAAGGGGAGCTGCAGGAGGCGAAGGATGCGCTGAGGCGCATGGAGGAGGCCATCGGGCGGAAGGGGGGCGACCCTGACCGCCTCTCTCTGGCCCCCACCTCCCCACGCCGCCTAAAGTCACGACGGGAGGTTTTCCGTTGTTTTCGGCCTCCTGGGGCCCTCTCAGGGGGCCCCGGGACCGTCAATGCACTGCCCGGGGATGAGGAGCAGACGCCGTGGAGGGGTTCGGATCTCCCGGGGGTCGACGTTCCTTACGAGTCACGGCGTCGGAGTTCTGGGTCGGGAGGGGGGCGACCCTGACCGCCTCTCCGACCCAGACCTCTGGCGGTGTGATTTTTTTGAGTCCCGTTGGGTGTTTCCTCGATCTCGGCCCCTGGTGGTCATTGTCGGCCCCCAGGGCCTTCAACAGTGGCTCCAGGGCGAAACGGTGGCCTCGGGGAAGCGGGTGTCGGGATTTCCGGGGCCGCGGGCAAGAAACACCACATCGGCGGGTGTCGGAGAATTTGACCGCCTCTCCGAGGTTCCGAGGTTGATAGACCTCCTACCCTGACACGTCGATTAGTGAATTGGCCGTTTTCGGTTCGCGAGAGGGCGTCGCGGTCGTTATTTTTGCGGGTCGAGGTCCGTCGGTTTCGGTCCTAGGCTGTTTCCATCGAAGGGAGGTTTACTAAAGGGAGGTTTGTCCACCGCCGAGAGGTTCGAGGCTCGAATGTTTGTTCGAGTATTTTTCGGCTTGTCTTTGGGCCTCTTCGAGGGGGCTCCTCGTGGCCACGGCCTGGTTCCCTCCGGATGAGGTGCTGGCCAGAGCGCACCCCAGGACGGGTCCGCGGGGGCGCGTTGTGTCCGAGGCGACCATTTATACATGGCCACCGCCTGGAGGGTTAGTTTTCGGAGCCTCGGCAGGCGGTGGATGTGGACATATTCGGGCCCCCGGGGGCCGAAATATATCCACATCCGGCGCCCGCTGGGGCACCAGGACGTCGGTTCCCAGGCGGTGGGTCTGGATAAATCCCCGCCTCGCATCGTGACCCCCGAGCCCAGCCTCCTCCGCGTCGTGAGGACATCACAGCTCGAGGAAGGTTTTCGACCACATCCAGTCTCTGTGAGCCCGCAGCGGGCCCCGGTACCGTCAGAGAGCGGCTCGAGATTAAGAGCCGGTTCTGGGAGTTGGTCGACGCCTCTGGAAGGCCACACCGTAAAATTAGCCTGACGAAGGGCCCAACCATATGCAGTTGAGTACCGTCGTTAGTATCGTCTTCGGTGGATCCCCTCATTGGGCCACGAAGCGCGTGAATGGCGCGCCGAAGTCTGGCGTGGACACCATGTGGGCGCTGCCACTGGGGCCTTCGAGCATCGCGAGGGGAATGAAATCAATGAGGGGGGCCAGCCACAGGGGCAACTGGGGCCTTCGGTGGAGCTCCCTATGGGGCCACGAAGCGTGTGAGAGGTGTGCCGGATGGAGGGTGGAACCGCATGCGGGCGCTGCCCCTGGAGCCTTAGGTGGAGCTCCCGATGGCATAGCTCAGCCGGGCCACGGAACGTGTGAGGGGGTCGCCGAAACGGGGGTGGAAGCCCATGTGGGCGTTGCCACTTAGATCTTCGGTGGAGCTCCCTATGGGGTTATGAAGCGTGTGAGGGATGCACCGACATGGGGGTGGAACTGCATGTGGGCGCTGCCACTGGGGACTTGGGTGGAGCTCCCTACGGGGGCCACGAGGGTGGAACTGTGTGCGGGCGCTGCCACTGGGGCCTTCGTTGAAGCTCCCTATGGGGCCACGAAACGCGTGGTGGGGTGCACTGACATGAGGATGGAACTGTATGCGGGCGCTGCCACTGGGGCCTTCGGTGGAGATCCCAATGGGGCCACGAAACGCGTGAGGGGTGTGCCGAAATGGGGGTGGAACCGCATGCGGGCGCTGCCACTGGGGCCTTCGGTGGGGCTCCCTATGAGGCCATGAAGCGTGTGAAGGGTGTGCCGACATTGGGGTGGAACCGCATGCGGGCCTTGCCACTGGTCACTCTTTCGTGTTTCCCCGTTGCGTAATACATGATCTAATCGTTATGGCAGATGTTTTGTTCGTTCTGTTATGCAATAGATCTTTGTATATATAGCATAGAGCATTCTTTTTTTTGTTGTTTGTTTCTCTCTCTCTCTCTCTCTCTCTCTCTCTCTCTCCCCCCCCCCTCGCCCCCCATCTCTCTCCCTTTCTCTTGCTCTTGGTAGTTATTAGTCCCAACCCTCCTGCGTTGGGTTCCCGTTTTGAATAGAGCGCTTCAGTCGCACACCCCTTTCCTCCCGCCCACTCTCCCCTTCTCTCCTGTTTGTCACCTTGCTCCTTCCTGCGTGCTAGCTTGCCTCCTACCTGGCCATCCCTGGGGGGCTGCGGTCTACAAAATTGTCGACACTTTCGAGGGCTGCTGGGGGGTAGACTCACATGAGACCTCGCCATCCCTGTGGGGCTGCGATCTGCGAAACTGTCGCCACTTTCGAGGGGTGCTGGGAGGTCCAGCGGAGTGACGTCCCACACATATTCAGAGTAGACCTCGCCATCTATGTGGGGCTGCGATCTGCGAAACTGTCACCACTTTCGAGGGCTGCTGGGAGGTCCAGCGGAGTGACGTTCCACGCAGGCTCAGATTAGACCTCGCCGTCCCTGGGGAGGGCTGCGATCTGCGAAACTGTCGCCACCTTCGAGGGCTGCTGGGGGTTCCAGCGGAGTCACGTCCCACGCAGATTAAGATTAGACCTCGCCATCCCTGTGGGGCTGCGATCTGGGAAACTGTCGCCACCTTCGAGGCCTGCTGGGGGTTCAGCGGAGTCACGTCCCACGCAGATTAAGATTAGACCTCGCCATCCCTGTGGGGCTGCGATCTGCGAAACTGTCGCCACTTTCGGGGGCTGCTGGGGGGTCCAGCGGAGTCACGTCCCACGCAGGCTCAGATTAGACCTCGCCGTCCCTGTGGGGCTGCGATCTGGGAAACTGTCGCCACTTTCGAGGGGTACTGTGGGTCCAGCGGAGTGATGTCCCACGCAGACTCACATGAGACCTCGCCATCGCTGGGGGGCTGCGATCTGCGAAACTGTCGCCACTTTCGAGGGCTGCTGGGGGATCCAGCGGAGTGACGTCACACGCATGCTCAGACTAGACCTCGCCATCCCTGTGGTGCTTCGATTTGCGAAACTGTCACCACTTTCGAGGGCTGCTGAGGGGTCCAGCGGAGTCACGTCCCACGCAGACTAAGATTAGACCTCGCCATCCCTGTGGGGCTGCAATCTGCGAAGCTGTCGCCACTTTCGAGGGCTGCTGGGAGGTCCAGCAGGGCGCTGTCGCGGGCCGCCCGCAGACCTGGCGGCGCGCCTTCGAGCGTTTAGCTTCCGTGGTGCAGTAAAGAAGCAGGGAGGCTGGCGGGCGAGCAAGGCCTCGCTCGCTTCTTGCACACATGATTCGCAGGTTTAATCATTTAGCCAAGCGCCGCGGCGACATGGCGCAGGCAGCGCTGCATCTTTAGCGTACTACCAACAAACACAACTCTCTTCTGTCTCCTCCCGTCACTTTCGTCGTCGTCTCCTGCCCCCTGCCACCTTCCCTCTGCTGCTGCCGCGCTGACGGGTCGGCCCCCCGCGCGTCCTTCTCCTGCCCTTCGTTCCCCCCCCATGTCCTCCTCAAGTCTGGCCCTTCGCTCCTCGTCCTTCCGTTGTTGTCCTGTGAATCGTGCCACGTGGGCGCATCCCACGTAGCTTCCACAACATGTAGCGGCGCCTGCACTGTCATTGTTCTGGCAAGGTTGGGCCAACTCCTCTTGTCACTTGATGCAAATGCTTCCATTGTCCTGGCAAGTTTGGGCCGTTTCCTTTTGTCATTTGATGCAAATTGGTTGGGTATGTCACCGGGTCATTGTATGTATCACTCTTTGGTGCGTCCTTCATCACCTATTCGTTATATATGATGTTCTTCTCTCCGTGCCATGCATTTTTAAACATCTCGTTCTCTTTCTCTCTCGCCATATTGGGCCGACGGATGCCCGACATCGCGAAGATGCCACCCTTTCCAACACGCAGGGGCAATCAATGAGTTAGACTCTTAGGGCCCTCTTGCGAAAGCGCGGTCGGGCATGGTGCTTGCAAAACTTTCGGGCCATCCACACACTGGGTTTTTTCTCCAGTGTAATAAAATTGGAAACTGGAAATTGGAATTAGAGCAGGTTGCAGGAAACCTCATCCGCGCAGCCTGGTGGTTTCGTGATCACTCCAGCCCCTTTGGGGCCTCAGTTGCTCCCGTATGTACAAACAACGCCATGGGAAAGCCGAGGGAAATTTCCACATTCTTTGCGCATGATTGCCCAAGGGGCTGCCATGGGGGGGCTTTTCCGAGGAGCTTTCGAATGTATCACCACGTAGATTCTCGAAAGGTTGCGTTGCCGCTGCTCGGTGGCGGAGCATTGGTGCGATGATGATACCCCTGGAGGTCGTGTTACTTCACGTGGATAGGCTCGCGGCATCAGTGTGTGCGTGTGTGTGTGTGCGATGATATGATTATCGGACGCGCAATGCACTCGCGAGAGGCACGCCGCGCATGTTGCAGAGACGCGTTCAATTGCAGATTGTCGATTTGAGCCATAACGAGTGGTGGTGCCGAAATGTCCTGAAACCCACAACCCGCGAAAGTAACCAATTGTAACCGCCACGGCTCGTAATTGGTAGCCGCCCACAGTGAGATCGGGATCGCCCCCTCGACACGTGCAAATACATCGTGGTAGCTGGGATTCTGTCGCAGACAACCAGCTAGAGTGGGAAAGGAACTGCAAGTGGCCTTCGGCCCATCCCGCCACCGCACTTGGGTTGTAGGTCAGAAACATCTTGGATGCCTGAATCTTCTCTTGGGAGATCTTTCGGATGCTTCTTGGAGGTGGTTTTGGGGGTGTCTTGGGGCGTCTTGGGGGCGCCTTGGGGCCTGATTTGGGGCTCTCGGGACCTCCAGGGGGCCTCTTGGGGCCTCTTGGGCACACCTCGGGGGCTTGTGGGGGGATCTTGGGGCCATCTTGGGGCGCAGGGCTCAAAATGTCAGCTCGTGTTCCCCATCTTGGGGCCCCTCCTGGGGCCCCTGCCTCTCTTGGGCCCCTCTTGGGCCCCTCTTGGGCCCCTCTTGGGCCCCTCTGGGGCCCCTCTGGGGCGATCCTGGGCGCCTCTTTGGCGCCTCTTGGACGGTAACGCGAACGCCGCACACGACCCAACGGTTTTCGACGATTCCTCTTGGGCCGCTCTCCAGGGCCTCCAGGAGGGCCCAAGAGGGCTCCAGAGCGGTCCCCCCGGGGCTCTCCGAAACCATGTTGGACATGCATGCCCCAGCACAGCGCGCTCTGGGCCTCTCGACAAGTAGCGCGCGGGCCCCTCAAGAGCGCCCGGGAGCGCCTGGAACTCCGGGCTGTGGGCCCCAGAAAGAATTCGCCGCCGTGCCTCGAGGCACGAATTGGAGCACCCTCAGGTCCCGTGAAGTGTCGGGCGATCTTGGGCACTCTTGGGCGCTCCTGGGCGCTCTTGGGGGGTCCCCGCGTGACTTTCCGAGAGGGCACAAGCGCGCTGCTTGGGACATGCATGTCCGACGTGATTCAGATGGCTCCGGGAACCGTTCTGGAACCCTCTTGGCCGCCTCTTTGGCCCTCTTAGGCCCAAGAGGCCTACATCTTCGAAATCCACTGTTTTTGTATTGCTTTCGCGTTACCGCCTTTTCGGTCTTCAGGGCGTCCAAGACGGCCCAAGGAGGCGCCCAAGATCGCCCCAAAACGGCCCGAGAGGGGCCCAAGACGCCCCCACGACGGCCCCAGGAGGGACCCCAAGATGGGGAACACGAGCTGACATTTTGAGCCCTGCGCCCCAAGATGGCCCCAAGATCCCCCCACAGCCCCCGAGGTGTGCCCAAGAGGCCCCAAGAGGCCCCCAGGAGGTCCCGAGAGCCCCAAATCAGGCCCCAAGACGCCTCGCAAGAGATCCTCGCTACCATCCAGGGGGCTTCCGACTTACAACCCAGGCATGGAGGCGGGATGACCCGAAGGCCACTAATTAGATTTTCAGAGCTCAACACAGAGAACTCAAGGGGCCCTGAGGACGTCTCTCGTCCCACATCGATGCGCGGCTCTTCGGCCGCGGCTTTCGTGAGCCTGTGACTCGTCTTTCCCTCTTCATTTGTTTCGCTTCAAGGGGGAAGGCCACCTGGACGCCTACAGTCGGGGCCCTGAAGAAGGAACCCTTTTCGTTGGGGAGGGGCTCCGTGTTCCTTGATTGTTTCGCAGCTTGCCTTTGATTTTCCTTAGGTTTTCGATACGAAATCGAAGTTCAACTTATGGACGATAGGGGCCTCGTTCCTTATTTAGGGTTCCTTAGGTCAAGCCCCCGACTGTACCTCTTTTTCTGCCTCGGCGCTCCTCGTCGTGCCTCGAGGCAGGGTGGCGGTTCTGTCCAGGAGCGAGCCGAGCGGCGCCCCCGCGGCCCCTCCGCCCCCCCCCCCGCGCGCGGAGTCGCCCCACTGTGCGGCCGAGCTGGGGGTCTGGTCTCCCCTGCTCGGCCCCTGCCTGCTTGGCATCGCTCGGACGTGTGCATTTTTTCTCGGCGAGGGCGATCGAGGAGCATCCTTGATCATTTGGCGAAAAAACCACGCACGAAACCAAAAAAAGCACAGGGAATGGACGTCCGAGCGATGCCAGGCTCGGGGAACGGCAGCATCAGCGAGCAGTGCGTTGGGACATGTTGGGACTCGGCGCGTCTCCGTGGAAGTGCTCTGCCCGCTCCCCTGCTCCTGCGCCGATCCCCCCGCAGGCCGGCACTGCGAGCAAGGACTCGGACATGAAGGTCGAGGATGTAGGCGACCTTCGCAGGGAGGGGAGTTCAGAGGAATACCCCGCCCGATCGCCCGTGGGCCTCGGGAGCACGAAGAGCAGGGGCGGGAGCAGGAAGAGGAGGACAGAGGCTGGCGCCGGTGTCGAGCAGCGATGAGTGAGGGGAAGGTGGGCCTGGAGGCTTGGAGAGCCGAGATCCCCGGCACCCTCCCGTCGCTGCCGAGCTGGGCTCCGCGTCTGCCCTGCTGCTGATCGACAAGATCCTGCACCACCCGCGCGACCGCGGTGCCGGCGCAAGCTTCAGCGCCCCCCCTCTACCCCCGATTCAATGTTGGGCGGCATCGCCAGCGGGGCGCAGGACTTTGACCAGTCGACGCATCGACGCATCGCGGCGCAGCTCGCCGACATCAAATGGGGTGCGGGGGGGGATCGCAGGAAGCAACATCGAAAGGTGCAGGCATTTGTCCATCAACCGTGCCGCCTCACCTCTTGGAGGTGTTCTCGCCGCTCCGCCGTGGAGCAGATCTGTCCTTCGTGTGCGTGAGCTCTGTCGGTCACCGGTGCGCTACCGCCGCCCCGCTTCTCCTCTCCGCCTTCCCTCCCCCTCCCTCCCTATCGTTGTTTTCTCCCCCTCCTTGCCCTTCCCCGTTCCTTCCTGTCCTCCCCTCGTCTCTTCACCCCCCCCCCTCCCCCTCCCCCTCTGATCTTGTTCTTGTCGGCCAGTCTAGACGACTTATCCTACATAGCTGGTTTCGGCATCCAGGGAGGCGGCTCAAAGGGCGAAGGCTTGACGTCGGTACCTTCGAAGTGGCCAACGCGGGTGAGACATGCCATGGCGCGCGCCGAGCGACACAAACACGTTCTACCTACTGTCAGAGATGGTGCGTCTGAGATGTTCTGTTGCAAGGTGCAATTCACCCTTGAGTTTGGCCCTGGGGCAACCGTGGCATCAATGTCCTTAAGGCTGTCATGCCAACTCTACTCCAGCTTTGCATGAACAGGCCCACGCGAAGTCGAACAATTTTGAAGGAGGCGTCTGCTCGGTGACAATCATCGCAGCCGCACGGCAAAGGCGCAACATAACATTTTCACTCCCAAACGAACATGCAAATCGAAAGATGAATACTCCCTTGTCTGCATCAGGCACGGGCTGATTTCTGCATTCGGTGTTTTAGCCATCCGCTGGGAATTCAGAAGCATCGGAGAGCTGGATTCCGTTGACACTGGCTCGCGAGCCAACGCTATTTTGGCTCTGGCACGCTTTTGTTTCCGAGCGAACCTCAGCGGCGCGCGCGTCATCGGGTCCAGGATGGATACGGACGCGTCAGCGAAAATGGCGATATCGCGCGTCCTTGTCAGCGCTCCCTCTAGGAACGCAGCGCGACTGTGAGACTCGGATCTCTGCGAGGACGCCCGACGCAACAATGGAGACTCTGATCTGTGAGCACGCTACTGGAACAACAAGGATGATTGGAAATGTCGGCGATGATGGGGAGTGTTGACAGTGGCCCCTCATCGGCGCATAGAGGGCTTCGCGGCGACGCGATTTGGGGCTCGGGCTTTTGCGGGACATTTGCGCAAGTCGCAAGAATTTGACAAGCATCGTTTTTTACGTGGGGATTTTGCGGGATTCCGATCTACCTGTGCAATGTTATGAATTGGGAACGATCCCGGGCTCCCGCGATCTTAGGCCCTAGCGCACTGGTCCTGTCGCTCGGATTCCGGGGGTGGGGTGGGGGGGCTGACTGCGCAGGGAGGTGGGCCCTGAATTGGTTGTCCTCGCCCGCGCCCCGCATTCCACGTCAAAAGTTTAAAGCTGAATAGGAGAACGGCTGTAAGGCTTGTGCGTTGTGCTTCTTGTCGCGCTCGTCACTGCTGCTCTTTTCGTTTCGGCCAAAAATCGTCGTTGCAAGCACCGTGTCCGTCATCGCGCGCTTGCTGCCTTCTCTTCCCTCTTTCTTTTTGTTCGTTCTTTCGACTCGGGCAAAAGTGATGCCCGCACGCGCGTACCCGCCTGCCTCCAGTTTCTTTCGACTCGCGCACAGCTGATGCCCGCGCGCGCGTGCCCGCCTGCCTCCTGTTGCCTTCTTCCTGCCGCCCTCTTCAATTCCACATGTGTGGCTTAAGGCTCTGTTCTGCCAGTGACGGGCTTGTTCGTGGCGGTGCCACGCACAGCGCGCAACGCGCAGCGCGCACCGCAGTGCCGCCACTACGAAACTTATTACTACATATGGATTGCTACTATTACTAGTATTACAACTACTGCTGCTACTACTGCTGCTGCTGCTACTACTACTACTACTACTACTGCTACTACTACTACTACTACTACTACTACTATGACTATTCGTACTACTACTACAACAACTACTACTACTACTACTACTCCTACTACTACGAGTACTACGGCTACTACTACTACTACTGCTGCTGCTACTACTACTAGTACTACTACTGGTACTGCTACTACTGCTACTACTACTACTACTACTACCACTACTACTACTACTACTACTACTACTACTACTACTACTACTACTACTACTACTACTACTACTACTATTACGACTACGACTGCGACTACGACTACTACTAGTACGGCGACGACGACTACTAGTACTACTCCCACTTAAGTTGTTACCATTATGGCATTTACTCTTGCTACTACTGCTATCATTCTTACGAGCATTCTTCTTCTTCTTCTTCTTACTACTACTACTACTATTACCACTACTACTACTACTGCTACTACTTCTACTACTACAGCTGCTACGGCTACTACCACAGTTACTACGACCACTTCATCTACGACCATTACGTCTACTAGTACTACCACTACTTCTACTACTACAGCTTTCAATACTACTACTTTCATTACTACTACTCGTACTCTTGTGACTACTACAATCACTCCGGCTACCACTACTATTTCTATTATTACTACGACTCCTAGTATTGCGACTACTATTACTACTAATGCTAGTGCTAATGTGGTTGCTACCACGACTACTACGACCCTTTACTGCTACTCCTGCTATTACTACTGCCATCAAAACTATTACTGCTACTAGTACTAATACTGCTACTATTGTTTCTACGGCTACGACGACGA